TTTACCTGTAAGAGTTAAGTTGAAATTATTCAGACCATGGAAACTCGGCATCCTTTAGGCTTTATGCCCAAATTTTGAGACAAAAAATTTCTTTAGGTGATCAAAAAGTGGCAGTGAAGGGACCATTTGCTGATTTGATATTGGAGAAAAGCACCTGAGATTTTCCTTTCCCTTCACATTACATTAATTTACAGTCCATAGCAATTAATAATCCTAGACAAGTAATAAGCCAAAAAAACAATAAAACACGTGCCTGATTTAAAAGGACTAACACTAGAAAATAAAACCCCTCTGCACTGTACTAAACTCTACAGASTATATTGATGGTTTACATTTATTAAATGCAAAATGTCTACAAAAGTCTACAAAATTTATTTTCTTGTTTATGCACTGGCCATTCAATTCTGCTGCTTCCTGTTGTTGTGCAGTTTTATGCAATGGTTTAAACAGGAACATATTTACTACTCTCTATTTCAAATACTTAAAATTACTAGGCTTCTTATACTGACTGAAAATCAGTGTCCTCCGAATTGAATACCCAGGTGGAGGATATTTCATTGACTGGCAATGAAAAGCTAAGATGAGTAAAAGATTCGCTGTGAGTCACATAATCTATTTTAAGGAAACCATAAAAYAGGTTATGGGTGGAAAGACCACCTTCAAATGTGGTCAGAAAAAAAAACTAGAAGTGTTGTCCTGAAAAAATATTGCACAGAGCCTTCTCCCCATCGTATACTGTTCATTAAGGCAAGGAGTTATGAGCAAAAGCTGTCTCCTGTAACTTGATTCATCTTGAAAATATTCTCTGGAAATTAATGGCACTGAATCAGTATTCAGCAACATCATTAGTTCCTTTTTGCAGCAAAAATAATCAGCTGGGTCCCAGACTTTGGCAACTGGGACAGTTTCCGCACTCTTCATTTCCAAAGCCTCATTCTCCAGAGAGATATAAGAAGTTTGTGCAGCTGTGCTCTTTGAAGTCCAGCAAAGGATACCAAAAGGGAAGGTGGAAAGATCCAGCAGATGGACAAGTAATCAGGAATCAGATCACTGCAGTGAGACTCCACCCATGCTGATGGAAACCKTGGGTGTTGGGACAATGGAGGAAGGTGTAGTAGAGTACAAAAATACCACAGCTTGATGCTCATCCACCTCACCACTCCCGGGGGAAATCACACAGAACTCACAAAGTTGACTTTGCTTTCTCTCACGGAACTGAGCCATAGCAGAGTTTAGGATTTAATCCTAAAAAATAGCTTTGATAATCATGTATATGCCTATATTCAACAGGAGACACCCTTAAAACTCATTTCAGCTTGCACCTGGATGCCATGACCACGGGCTCTGAAAACCATGGATATGCCTGCACTCCAACTGCTTGAGGGCAGAGGAAGCCCCCATGTTATATTTGGAGCAACGAGGGCTAAAAATGGCAAGAAGATACAGCAACAAGGGCTACTGCCTGYTGGGGACCTTGGAAGTGCTGCTGCTCTGAAACCTTCTCTGGCCCCATTTCACATGGGCCACGTTTAAGCCAGCCTTGGTATTTTAAAAACCTATTTTCTAATTACCTAGGAGACCCTCCCAAAGAAAAAACACTACCTTATTCTTGTTCTGCAAACACAGAACATGAGAGCATCCCTCAGGTGAGATGAACTGGGGGAATGGCAAATGGGGATGAAATAGAACATTAATTACTGGGGAATAACTTGCTTGAAATTTCAACATTTGTGTACACACATAAATTTGAATTTGCCGTATCATTGGAATAAAAAACAAGTATATCAAATATCAAAATATCAAATATCAAAACATTGCAATTTTCTGTTCAGAATTCTCCTATTTTTTAARCATGTCAGTTGTGATTTTCTTTCCACATTGTCACAGCCTTTTGATAATAAAAATCCTAAACCAATTCTCTAGAGCACAGTCAAACAAGCTACATACCACTACATACAGGTACCCACATCACTCCTGTACCTTTTCCAGTTTTGTCTCCTACCTTGGAACCTGATGCTGTTGTTGATTATTACCAATTTGTCATCCACAGCATTGTATTCTCCCACCTTTACTTCCTTTTGTTCTGCAGAGAAACAAACAAGAGTGATTGTTTATGGMAGTTCACATGTTCTCAATTATTTAACTGATTTTGTCCTCCTTTTTGATGGTATGTCAAAAGGAAAAGAAATATGAAAGAATAAGGCATGAATAATTAAATCAGAATGCCAGACAGCTGACATCATTAAAAAAAATATTTCTGGTTCTTGAAAGAAATGCAAAGTAWTTTTAAGAACTCATTTACATAATCAGGAAACTGCTGTTATTGGGCTCAGTCATCTCCATCTTAGTGGTTGCAGTTTCTCACTGGCTCACAATGTGCAGGGCATTTTTACTGGGAGAACAAACACAGCTGGATCACACATTCCCCTCCCATTTACACAACCAGGACATCTTGCTTTGTGAAGTGTTTCCCAGGACAGTCAGGGTGGCAGGCTCCAGCCAGTATGGAGCAGACTGGCTAGTTAGCRGATATGCTGGGAATCAACTCTCTTACTCTGACTGGGAATTAGAACCTCATTAGTACCCTGACTGCAAAACAAGCCAACGTGCACTTGAGCTAAATTTTTACAGTCAGCCTCATCTGCTATTTTGGGACTATCCTCACATCCATGGGTTTCTTGTACCTAACCGAGTAGAGTATACAGATAATTTGTTTATCTGCTGCCTTGGCCACTGTACCTGGAACTCTGACATGCATTTGTCCAACACTTCTTATAACATCTGGCATCAATTAATTTCTGCTATTTTGTCAGGTTTTTGGTATGACTTAGAAGGGCAGGAACTCACTATATTATCCCTTTTACACTAAAAMTTTCACATTTTTACAAGACTTATAAACCACTGGCCCATTGGCTAAAGATTCCTTTGARGAGCTGGTTCAGCAGAGACAAATATTTCCTTTCACACCTCTCTGTCTGGGCACGCACAACCCAATTTACATTTAAATTCTGAGCTCATGACCCTATTTGTGRCACTGATTTTGGGAGCTGATGATCTTCAGCTAGACATCAAATTTGAAAAGACTGTATTTCACCCAACAGTTCCACATTAACCTTTTCTTCTTTCTCACTCAAAGTGATTTTACCTGTTCTGGTCTGCTGAATAGAGCAGCTAGGTCCCTTTTAGTAAAATCTACAKGCTGACTAATACTAATCTGAGACCTCACAGGAGGCGAAAGTTTCCTTAACACAAACCACTATTTTTATTGTCATGTTGCCATATATATTGTTATATTGTTAAAATTCTCTACAACAAATAGACTGGGCTGCAAATCTGGCAGAGAGTCCTACATTTACTACACCCCCATCAAAAGCTGGAGGGTGCAGTTCTGAAGACTCATTTGCCTTTCACATGAGCATGATCCACTTGGACAGACCTAAGACTTGTTTGGAATAAAAACAAAATCCCCTGGTGTCCAGCAGCCGTTTCACAAAGCCCATCCACACAGCATGACATACTCTTAGGAATGAATATAAGTTTATAACTTCTGTCACAGAATGAAAATTCACTGTGAAATAAATACATGAATAATTTTCTGACAGTCTTAACAATAAAATATTCCCACTAGTCATCTAAAAGCTAAAAARGTTAATACTAAAATCAGAACCGATTCAATTCCATTTGTATTTATAGCATGACAGCTGTTACCCACAGTCTAAAACATCAAAATATAACCTAGAGAGAAGAGAGACAAACATCAGGATGCATTTTGAATACAGTGTGCACGTCAGATAACCCACAGCATCTCCCAAGACCAACAGGGAGGACACACATCTTGATGCTGGTTTAGCCCCAACTTCACAGCCCCAGGATAAAGCCTGGTAGCTCTGATGAGCATGGAAAAGAAATGAATAATTGCTCTGCAACCATTTCTGTGTGGAGAGTTTATTGGGACTAGATGAGATGTGGGAACAGGAGAAGAGTACACAAAAAAAACCAGCGTAAATCTGTGGTCTGATTAAAGTACTGCAATTAAGAAAGTTTTTCTGTGATTATTTCATGTGACAGATGATGCCATTTCTTTTCAATATTTATAAATTCTTACATGGCTTCCTTTACAGGTGAGGTAATAATGAAAACGTGCCTGATGTGTCTTGTAACTAGCCACCCTGGGTACCAGGAGTTTGTCCTTGTAGGAATGGAGCTCGATATTCTGAGAAACAGACTTCCAGGGCAGCCTGAAGAGCAAGACTTTTCGGGCTGAAAAACCAAGTGTGGGGGGAAAACCCCAGTGTTTACTACCAGGGAACCACATAATCAATGCCTTGTCCCAAACAACGGGAAAGGACAGCTCACAGAGGACATGGCACACTTCATTGAAGTCAAGAAAAAACACAAAGATATTTGATATCTTAAAGTAGTGACACCTGTGGGAATTAGTCTGTGAGGGAAATAAAACATATTTTTATTGAGAGGAAGGATATACTACCCATTTTATAGTGTGATTACAGGGGTGCTGAGGGGCAGGCACAAAAAGGTTTTTTCTGATCTTTTGCTCTCCCAGCAAGGAGTAGTACAGCTGCTGTTTTTTCAGATCCCCAAGCATAAGTGCTGATCAGTGACAAAGTCACTTCCAAATATTAATTAAGGGAAGCAAGGAAACAGCACTGTGGCTCTCTGCTCTCCTGGACAGCTCAATAGAGCAAAGGATGGGACTGCAGGGTCTACTTTTCTACATGCCATTCCCTTCAGTTTCCTTTGGAAATTCTGAATTATTAAAGTTAGGATAGTATTTGTATAATGTAGCTCATATCTGTCGAAACCCCTGAGTGTTCAACAACAAAAGGACAGGAGGGAGCAGAACTGCTTCAAAGGAACACACCAACAAAGTGCTTTTCAGAATATCCAGAATATGATGGCTGGTTTCTYTCTGTAGTGCTTCCATTATTTTTAACTAGATCTTTCCGCAGGTGTGATAATAAGATAAAGAGAGATTGTATTGAAGCTCATGCTAAAATGAAGAAGAAAAATATGAAAGAAAATATACTGGGTTTGTGAGATAATGTTTGTCAATACAATGACAGGAGAGGAGTAGTTTCAGAACTTGAATCTGAAGCTTCTTCAGATTCTGAAGCTTCTTGTTCTCTCACAGAGGGACAAAAAAGCATGAAAACAAACCAACCCAGATAAAACTGGCCCAGAAAAATGTGACTGTAAATTATACCTATAATTGTCATGGAATTATAAACAATTAATCCATGTTGTTAATTAATTGTCACAGAAAAGATTACTTATATGGCCAAGATGAAAGCTCTCTGCAAACTAAGGACTGAGCAGCTCTTAAATGAATATTAAAATTGGGTGTTTTTTCTACATATTTTATTACAGAATTTTATAACCCACTTCAAGCAACTCCACACAATACCAATCAATTAGTTCACATTTCACAAAGTYAGTGCAGAGGATTTCCAARAGCACATCAGTTAYRTGTTCTGGTTGAATAAAARCAAAAAAAAAAATCCTGCAACYGATATCAGCAGAGTAAAACRAACTCACCAAAATGCAGAGCMGTGTCATGATTGCCAATCTGTTATCCACGTACACTGAGAATTCCCAGATGAGATTATGCTTAGCTTCAGTTCCTTTCRCTATATGTCATAATTTCTATTTTCCCCATATTTTTGTAAGTGTACTTATTCACACTTCATGAAGATAGTTTCTACTGAGGGTGTWTAAGGATGAGAGAAATGCACTTGCWGTGCATAAGAGATGGGACAGATGGATTTCCTTCATTTTCCTCTATGCAGGCAATGCTGGCTAACTTTCAATACACTATATCTAAAGCTAATAGCTCCCTCAGTTATGTCAGTCTGACTGCAGTTGTACAAATAACCCTTGTGGTGATGTAGTTAAGCTGACATAAAAATGTTTACACCAGTATAAGAACCACTAAAATTTACACTTATAATAGTAAGGGCACTGAAAAAGATGTAGTATCCTACAAAATCTAAAAAAGATGGATATTGATATGCAGACACATTCATGAACTCCTATGTTCTGGTTGGATATACCCATGTAAAAACTATGTCTAGGCTATCACAATAAAGTYAAATTACAAGTCTGCCCTAACATCACTGCAGTGCCAAATCACACATTTCCAAAAGAAGAGTAAAGATTTCAAGGCACAATAGCTTGGCATAGCTTGACGCTACTGAGAACACTTTGTTATGTCACTACAGCTYTTTATAAACTTAGAATTCCATCCAAACTACAAAGAGAAAAATGTGCAAGCTACGAGTATTCATTTTCCAACCAATACAAAGTAAATTTTAAAGTAAATTCAATAAACTCACCATGGACTATTCTCCAGATAGCTAAGGGTCACAGAGGTTTCTCATCTAGAGGACACAGACTATTCTCAATTTAGAAGCACTAGAAAATTATATTACATATAGCTGAAAGCACACCAAGTATCTAGGTCTTAGTTTGTTCTGAAAAACCATGCCTGCAAAAGGTGCTGCCTCCATGGCTCCTAYTTGAAAAGCTTTTAAATTTTTTTATATGGCTTCCCCTGCTTCTCCGCACATTAAATGTTCACTTTAAACACTCCCTTAAACCTTCCTCTGACATCAGTTTAACAATCCCTTCTCCCACTATTTTCCAGCTGCCCCACTTGCTTAACCATACTAATTCAGTGGGAGTGATTAGATGCTTAGCATTTTAGAAAATCTTGCTGCATAATCAGCACTCAGCAGCCTACCTCTGGAACCAATATTATTAAGCCTTGCCCTACAACAGAACCATTTAATTCCTGAGCATTATTCCTCATKCATGCATTGCAGCTCAACAGGACTGCTGGCAGCTATAGGAAATACTTAGTCATCAGGATCTCAGAAGAGTTTTGGGGAAGTGTGCCAACAGGTAGGCATGGCCCATATGCACCTGAAATACTTGAAGATCCTTAGGTACAGTTAATTTTCTTCACAGAGGTTATACAGGGCTGTATTTTGGATTTATGCTGGACACAGGGTTGATAATATAGAGGTTTGTTTTTTTTTTATGGCTGAGCAGGGGTTACATATA